CTTCAACACCATTAATTCCACAAACAGCTAAAAGTTCAATAACTTTGGAGAAGAAAATAAAGAAAATAGAAAGAGAACTTCAGAGTACTATGAATGCAATAGGGAATCTTACCTACCTTTTTTATCACCTAGACTGGAGGATGAAGGAGAACTTTGATCATACTAGAACGGTTGAAGCAGGATTGGTGCATATGTTCAATAAATATGGATGGATCGATGAAAATTCAACTGATCAATTCCCGTACCGACCCTTCTACAATTTTTATGTCCATTACCAGTCTATGAGAGATATTAGAGGAGGAGAAAGTATTGAAAATGAAGCAGAATAATTGAAGAAGTTGGACTCACTACTAGTTTAAAGTAAGTATGGTTTCAATGTGATTGTGTTGGATTTACTTTGCGGATTTGATTTACTTTACTACTTTACTTTACTCACTTTGCTTTGGAACTCTATTAACTTTGATTGTGTGTACAGTTTTGTGTCAGGGTTCTAGTGTTGTGGCTTGATTTTGATGCTGAATTATAATTTAGTTTGTTTTACTATGTGAAAGTGTGATTAGAAAAATGTATTTGTAAAAAGTGTATTTTCATATATAAAAGTTAGTTTGGCGTTGTTTGTGAAAATCTTTGTTTGTGAATTATTTTAAGATGAAAATTAATCTTCAATAAGACTAAATAGACTTCGGAGTGTGTTGAAAGAAAGTTAAAAAATGCGAAAATCAGAAAAATGAATTTTTGGCCACTGGTGCCAACAACGCCGACATGGGCTCTGACAGCGCCCTTGACCCGAAAGCTACCTAAACCCATTAAAAATTGGTGATTTGCACAGTAAAACACCATTTTTACCCTTTTAGTCACCTTCAACCTCTGGTTTTTGCACCTAGGGCTCACTATTTCTTGGATTTGAGGTGATTTTAAGGCAAATGAAGTTTGGATTTCATCTTCTCTAAATAAGAGCTACAATTTGAACTCAAAGTTTTTTATTTACACCAAGGATTTATCTTACATTGATGAGATCCAAAATTTTGAAAAATTTTTTGAAGATTTTTGAGAAAATCCTTTAGTGGAGAACTCTTACTTAGTAGATTTAAGTTTGAAATGTTCTACATTGTGATTTTCAGAATTTTAGGAAATTTATTTGGATTTTAACAAATTTTCATAGGTTACCATGGCACCAAAAATGAGTAAGGGAAAGAGAAAAGTGGATTTTGATGAACAAAAGTTTGAAAGTTTGTCAATTACAAAGCCAACATTTGTTTCAATAGTCTACTTACAACTAAAAAAGTGTTTCTGGATCGAGGATTTAAAAATCCGGGAGGAAAAGTTGAAAGATTAATCAATGCTCGATAGTGGAAAATTTTTTGTTACTTTACTTCTGAGGCTATTATTGGTGTAGTGATGAAGTTCTATGCCAATTTTAAGAAGACTTCTGAAGACTATGTGTTTGTTCGTGAGAAGTTGGTGGAATTTACTTCAAGTAAGATTAATGAATTTTATTAGTTAGAAGATGTGTATAGCTGTCAGTACAAATCATTTTCTGCTACGAACGAGGCCTTAGATGAGGTTATTTCTTTTCTTACTGATGGAAGAGGAGCTTGGAAAGTGAAGAATGGTGTTAAGGTAAACTTTCCTCTTTCTATGTTAAATTTAGTATTTAAGGCCTGACACTACTTTATTTTTGGGAGAATGATACCAAAAAATAATCATAGTGAGGTTACAATGGATAGAGCTATCTTGAACTTCTGCATCCATCAGATGATGAGGATAGATGTAGGCTCTATTATTTATAGAAACACTCGTTCTATTGCTTTGGGAGAGACCACTAGTGGTTTGGCACACCCTGCCCTGATCTTCACACTATGTGAACATGTAAGAGTTGATTTTAGAATGGATGAGGAGAGAAACCTCAAAACCCTTGTGCCCCTGCCGATATTAAGACTTATGAATCTCATGTTGGATGGAGATCTAGAAGTAGACTAGGGATATTGCTTCTACTTCAACCACTACTTCTAATGCCCCTACTCTTCAAGAACCTATGGAGCATATGATGATCCAACAGGGAGATATCTTGAGAATGGGAAGTAGAATAGAAAATATGGAGGTCAGAAATGCACACAATGATGATTTGACCAGAGAAAAGTTTGAATATGATGCTGCTTATGATGATGCAATGGTCAGATATATGAGGGGTGATCACTCAGTTCAGTTTCCTACTCACCCTGTTTCTACCCCATATCAGCAGCAAAGCAAAGAAATAAAAAGAAAAAGGATTGAAAATGATCCTGAAAAAGAAAATAAAAGGAAAAAGAAATAAAAAAAATATGGGAAGAAACTTCAGGAGATGTCTAATTAAAAATTGGCTTCACTTGGATCAACTTAAAGAAGAAGACTCGACTACATTTTTTAAACTTATATTTCAGTATTAACATATTTACTAGTAAAGTTTCATGAAGTTCTTTTTCATATGAATATTCTAACTGACTTTAATATGAATAATTTGCAATTTTCCTTGAAAAGAATAGAGAATCAAAAATCTTAGACTTAACTGCTAGATATTCTTACACATTTAGTATTAACTGGAGTTATTTTACATTTTTCTTAAGTTATGCTATTGTATTTAGTGAACTAAAATATAGAAATCTAGAAGTTAAAATCTAGAGCGGTTCTTATAACCTAGTTTATAATAGTTAGAATATGGGTTTTTGGATCTATTATTAATTGCGTTTAAAGTCTCATATGAATGTTGATACACCAAAAATATATACATTTTTAGACCCATATTTTATACTCATTTTTGGTGATATTGCACTTTAATGGAAGGTATTTTTATTTATTATTGCAGGTTGTTGATTTTTAGGACTTGAAGCAAAAAGGAAGCAAAAATAATGAAATTTGGAATAAAAAATTTTTAAAGAATTTTTCAGCTCCGACAGCGCCAGACTAGGCGCCGACGACGTCGTTTGACAGAGAACACAAACTTAATTAACTGTCAATGCAGACCCATTTTCTAGAAGATTCGATGAAGTTGGACACCTTTTAAAGAGTTTTTGGATGCACCTATTGGAGAACCGACCTTAGGCTCTATTTAGAGCCGAAATTAGTCAAAAAAGGCCCTCTCTTCCTCCTCTTCGCACTCCTCCGCTCACTCTTCACCCCCTTTAATACCACTTCACAACTTTCAACAGATTTCCACTCCATTCCACACTATTAGTTAGTTATTTTCACTATAGTTTTCAGGTTTTTATGGTGAGTTTAAGTGTAAATTCTTCTCTAAAGAGTGCTGGAGAGGGAGAGAAGTTAGAGATTTCTTCTTCCTACATTTCCTAAGAGAGGCTACAAGGGATTTGTTTTGAGAGAATAAGATAAGTGTTGTTTGTTTATTATTATTGTATGAACTTTCTTTTATATATGAAATTTGTGTTTTGTTGTATCTTTCTCATGAAGTCTGAGTAGTTTCCTTTATTTTTCTCCCTACTCTAAGATATGGTGAAATAAATAGATAATGCAGATGTGCCAATGTTAAAATATAAAATAAATTATGATTATTTTTCAACTCTGTTCTTAATTTTCTTTTCGATCTGACCAATTGAATTGTTAAAATATGTTGTGAAAACATATGATCCGGAAAATGGAGTATGAGCTCTATAACAGAGCGAGAATCACATTTAATTCCATGAAATAGTATTTCATTCATGGAATTAAGTCCAAATAAATAAGAAAATATACATTGTTGGGTGTAGAATTAGAGATTTTTGGGGTGACAGACTAAAATCCCTAATTCGATCTTAGTGGTTAGAAACTAAAACAAGACTTAACCTTCAGGGGAAGGGAAGTGGGAGCTTTGGAGTGAAAGCGAGTATCCTCCTAGCCTAGCCACAGATTTATGAACTAAACTTAAGATTAGCGAATGATTTTTCATAACACTGAATCAGGGTAGAGAATTAAAATTGCTCATATTTGACACAATACAAATTTAAACTATATATTTCATCTCATTTCACCAAAAACTCATTGTAATGGGAAAGAAGTTTTTTCATATTAAAAAATTTTATCACATTAACATAATTTAGTAGTTATTGTTTTAAACTTTGCATTTAAATTTTGCCAGTAGTTAAGAATTTAGTTTCGATAGTATCTTACACATTCAAAATTAATGACAGTAATTTCATTTGATTTATGCGAATTTCCTAGTAAATTTATCATTTCAAATTTAAACCTTCCTCGTGGGATCGACATTTGGAACTTAAATAGAAAGTTTTATATTAATTTATAACGATGCGTATATTTGCGTAGTATCCCAACATTAAGTGCTTAACGTTATTATTAAAAAAAATAACACATCAAGTTTTTGGCATCGTTGTAAAACAAAGTCAACTTTATAAATTTTAAACAACTATATTTCACGGGATCAGGTTCTACCGTGTCACACCCGGGCAACGTTACTCGTGACATGCTTCAACATTGTAAAATGAATATTGTCATTTTTTTACATGTAATTTTAACATGTTATTTCCTTTTTTTAGGTTTCATGATATTATTATTTGAGATGTATATCTTTTTTGTCCTCTTATGAAAAGATTTTATTGGTTTTAAAATATCTAATGTGCACGCATTGTAGTTTTGTTGAGAACTTTACAAATTTTGCATCTTAAATTGTTTATTTACTTAAAAAAAACTGCAAACCAGCTGTTCACAAAACACAAATCAAACAACTTATCCAAAATAGGAGTAGAACTGTCATTTATTCAGAATCAGTTGTTTTCCAAACGCACAGACCAAACAGTCAAATAAATTATCCGAAATTATTAATCAGCTGCTTATCTGAATAAATTGGATAAGATGAAGGTGCCCCGAACACAAACTATGCTTGCAATTTAGGATCCAACTTGGGCCTTATTGGAGAACAAAATAATCCGCACACGTGTGAGGCCAACAATGATATGGCCCACGGAGAACCATAAAATCGCACGCGCGACACGAAGCACACCGCACCGACTTCGCGAATTGCAACTATTTCAGACCTTTCCCCTATTTTATGTGCAACTTGAAACCCTATTTTGCGTGAGGGAGACCAGAGAAGGCAAACAAGCGGCGGTGGTGGCTACAAAGATACCGGAGAGGATTGCCATGGAAGGATGATGCCTTTTGTAGTGTTTTTATGAGGAACAAGTCTGGGGTTGGGCGAAGGGTACGTTCATCTTGAAACCTGGTAGGATTATTTTCTCTTGCAGTCCATATGGCTCGCCAGGACAACCCCTTCACTCTTCTCGATGATGATGACGAAGGAGACGACGTTTCAGTTCTCCTCGCCAAGGTGGAGGCCAAGACGCCGGCTCCTGCTCCGCTGCCCTCCGCAACTGAGCAGACAAAGCCGAAGAGAGAACCCAATGGCTTTCCTTCGAAGCTTCTTGCGCCCAGCGAGTTCGGTAAGGGTTATTGTTTCATTTTTTGGGGTTCTCTAGATTTTTTCATTGGGGTTTGGTTTTCACTTTGTCTGTGTGCGTGCGCTCATATTCTGTTTTTTGTTTTCTTCGTTTCCAGTGAGGGGAGAGGGAGGCCGGGGGAGGGGTGGCCGGGGCCGGGGTCTCGTAAGGGGTGGATTTGGTAATGTTGGTGGCAGCGATGCTGCTGATCAGCTAGAGCATTTGTATAGAGGTTACAGTGGTGAATCTGGTGGTGAGCGCATTCGCGGGCGTGGTGCTAGAGGTGGAATAGGCCGTGGAAGGGGGAGAGGTTTTACAGCACTTGGTAACAGGAACCGGATGGAGTATGGGAATGCGGGAGATGGTAGAGAGGAGGAAGGCGAGTTCCAGGAAAAGGGCTATTATGGTGAGAGTCGACCGCCCAGATACGACGGTAGAAAGTTTGGAGGGGAGAATCAGGGACCAGATGGCGAGGAGGGAGAGAACCGTGGGTTTAGGGGATATGGCGCGGATCGTGAGAACCGTGGGTTGAGGGAACATGTATCTGGTATGGAGAAGCGGGAGTTTCGGGATGGTGAGGGCAACCAGAGAAAGAGGGAGTTTAAGGATGGAGAAAGCTACGAGAGGAGTTATGTGGGTGATGGGGAAAATCGTGGATTCACAGAGGGTCGAGGAAGAGGATATGGTGGAAGGGGCCGGAGGGGCGGCCGTGATGGTGGACGAGCTTTTGGCAGATATGATTCTAATAATGGATGGAATGCATCTGAGACCAAGAAAGCTTCTGCTGATGAGAAAGAGCTGACTGTCAACAATCCAAACAATGGAGATGGTGGCTCGGAGCGGTATGGTTTCTTTTTTTCAATTTAATTTTTTTATTTGATGTGAAATTATTTTACTCATCATTGCATTAAATTTTTTTAAGGTTATAAATACAATGAATTATAGCTAATTTTATTCTTCTTCATACTTTCCTTTATTGGGACGTGAAAATAATGTGTATTTAATTTAGTTTTTGTTCATATTTTTCTGTTCTTTGCATTGAGAGATTATTGATGAGACTTCTATTGAAATAAATGGAATGTTGGAACAACATTGATAATGTATAAAATATTTAAGATTTTAATTCTTGGAACAAATAATGAGCATATAATTTGGAATTTTTGTGGACTTGCTTTTAATAATTATCAATTAATATTATTAATAGATGAAGTTATACTTAGGTGCGAGGTTTAGGTAAATTAATTCTGAATGGAAATATAAATGAGGATATAGTTTCTATAAGATTTAATTGCTAAAATATAGTAGCCTCATGCTTATCAAGAGGATTTCATCAAGATCTAAAGATAAATCTTATAGAACTATAATGAAGATGGTTTCCTGTTCAGATTCAAGTTTTAGATAGTAAAATGTCATTGATTGATAAGGAAGTATGACAAAATTAGAATGTTAGATGAATATGTAGCTAAAATAGAATTTATAAATTAAGGAATAATTGTATTATATGAATGGTTATAGTGATATCTATCAAAAATAAGCAAGCTTAAAATAGAGCTAGTTAATACATTTTTGACAAGGGTAGAAAATGCATCATTTTAAATTTTGTTAAATACTGTCTGATAATTAGGTAAGATAGGAATATGCATATGATATTCTGATTGGAAGTTGTTTAAAATGATTTGCAGATAATGGATCTAGTACTTGTGCAACCCTCAATAGGAACAAATGTAACGAGAAATCATAAATAACAATCGAAGCTAATGATAGTAACATGTAACACTCAAGATGAATACATGAAAAGGGGGATTCATAGATTCATATATTGGGATAAAGCTAATGATGAGGACGTTGAAATTTATGTGTAACCACATGTGTACATATACATATAGTTCAAGTTGATTTTGAGTTTACTCATAGTAACACTTGTAACCACACGAGTGTATATAAATTCCTATATACACTAAAAAATATAGGTTCTTTATACATGCATGCCACATATATTATACAACTTTAAGAAAATTAAATGCGGATGAAAATGTGATCTTAGATTATATTTGTTTGATTGCTATAAAGAATTGAATATAAAAAAAAAATAAATGCAAATGCATCACATATATATGAATTTCATGAAGTATCAATAGCATGCTAATATATTTTTGTGTTTGTTTTTGAGATCTTTATGAAGGAAATTCAAAATGAGGTGCTTTGGTCTATACATTTTGTAAATGCATTGTTGTAATTGATGAGACATCTCTTAAATAAATGGATTTATAGAACAACATAGAAAATGTATAAAAGATAAAATACTTCGAATAATTAGAATAAAGGTTGAGCATATAAAATGTAACTTTAATTGGGATATATTATAAAAGTACAATGAGAATGATTAAGTTGTATGGATTCAAGTGCCGGATAATACAGATATCTTTGATTGATAAATAGGATGGAATTGGGAATGCTTGATGGATGTGTGACAAAACTAAAATCGATAAAGTAATGGATGATTATATTATAGTTATGATTGGAATGATGCCTATTAAATATAAGAAACTTATGGGTCATCATCTATTTTCTTAGCATATTCATTGTTTCGGGTTTGTAGATGACAGCACGACCTTTGAGCGTTCTAGTAGATCATTAATAATTGACTCCAAATAGGTAATGAAAGAAAGACCATCCTCTTCCATCTATAATATTTTTAATGGTACCACACATCAATTTCTCATTTCTTTTGCAACTCTTACTGCTTGGAGTTCTTTGAGTTTTTTTTTTCAAATTTCATTGTCATTGAACGAATCATTTTTCTTTCCTTTGTTTGCCATTGGTAAGTCAAGATCAAATATTAAGACTTGCATGAATGCATGCTTTTAATAAAGGAATTTTGCCTGCATGTTTTTCCATCCAATCCTCCTTTTAACTAGACTAATATAATTTGAGTCTTGTGTATTCCTGCCTTTTCCACCATCAACCATTATTGAGTGGGCTTATGCAAAACACTCATGTTTTTTAATACGTGCTTGGGCATAACGGTAAACTAGAAATCTAAGATGGTATAAACCTCAATCCTCTTATTCCTTTAGTTTTTCTTCATGAGTCACACATAGTTTAGTTTCACAAATATGATTATAATATATATTGAAAACCAACCTTCATTCGTAACCCCAAAACTAAGGAACATCGAAATCTTGCTCTTGCTCAAGTCTAAACTTGTATCATAGAAGTCAAATACAATCTTAAATAGTACGGCCAACCCAATCACTTTTCTGATCTTTTCACCAATAATTTTCTCACCATTCTTTTTAATCAGAATAAGTGAGTCCACGTTGACAAAAATGATAATGAGTGAGTAGTTGCTGCCATTATTCGTGACGAACATGGAAGAGGGCTTGTGGCCATGGGCCAACTTTCGTAAAATTGGGATAGTGGACTGGTGGAGCTCAATGCCACCTACGACTTCCAACAGATTTGTGAAACATGGATGTACGAATGCAATAGTATTATTGTGGAAGGCGACAATAACAATATTATCCGTCTTTTGCAAGGCACCATGATGAAGGTTAATTGACAACAAAACCTATTTCTTGCTCTGAACTTTGCCTTTCTTACCCATTTTTGACAAGTTTTTTTTTCAGGTATCTCGTGTTTGTAATAGGGTGGCACACAAATGTGCCAAGTTAGCTCTTCACAGCTCTTTTATTTTGAAGCATGTAGAGAGTCATAGTGTTCTTTCTCTTTTACTTGTAGAGAATGGATCACATTTTTGTACTTCTTAGGTGCATTCATGCATATTTTGTAACATTTGTTTTATTTTAATGCAAAATGAAATATTTCTAGTAGTTGCTGCCCTTCCACCTCCACAAGTTTTTCAGGTTTATCAGGATGCTCGTACGAAACACTTTTATTATCCTGACTTGAAAATTGACAAATCATATATCTCAAGAAAATGAGAGTTGGCAGCAATAGTAGTTTTGATTTGAATGCATCTTCGATTTCTAATGATGAGAGACTATATGTATTGATTACCTACTCGTGATCAAGGATCGTTGAACTTGGAGTTTGTATTTTCTTTGATTTTTAGTAGTTTTGAGCACAAAAACCTTGGTGTGTCATAAGAAGCATGTAATTTGGTAAGATGTTTTGTTTTATGGACAGCTTTGATACTCGTCTTGTTTAGTCTTTGTATTGATTTGTTGTTCCTTAGATGTGTTTGTTTATTGTGAGTTGATTCTCAATCTGTGTTTATGTTTCTTACATGCTCTTGTGTTTGCCTTCATCGTCAAATTTAAGCACTTTCCTTTTATATGCTCACACGATACTTCTTACTTCTTTACATTACTTTAAAAAGTAATCTGTAAAGGGGGAGCTACATCGACCTTAAAAATTTTATGTATAAGCATAAGTATGTATGCCGTCATCATCAGCAGGTGGGAGAATATTAAGCACATAAGCTTAAGCTTATGTTAAATGTTTTGATATTTATGAATATAAGTTGATATGAGCTAACATTGTTCAAATAAATATTGTGCAAGCATGAGTGTAATTTTTCATATAAAAGTTGAAAGAGTAAATCATGGGAAAGTACACTCAAAAGCAAATACATTATTTGAAGGACGCCTATCATCTAAACAACTAAAGCTAGCCCAAGTGACTTCGAGACATGTTTCAAGATACAAAATACGTTACTTTCTTTAATCTTGATCTACCATTTATAATATACAAGGCAGTATATAATCAAATAAATGCCATTAATTGAAGAACTCATATACGGTTTGTATTCAAGTTTTTGTGATGAAGGCATTGTCCTCTGTTTTTGATTTCTCAATTTCCTTATTTATCTATTACACTTTACAAATTAGATTTATTTTATGTTATTTTGTGCGCTCGCATTGTGGCATGGATTGATCGAACTTCGGATGAAAATCTTAGTCAAAATGCACATGCAATTCAACCCCTGTTTTGGTGTGCCTCATGCTTACACTAATTACTACCTTTTTTAAAAAAATAATGACGTGATGCTATTATTATTTGCTATAAATTAAATAAATAAAATAAATAAAATAATTAACTAAAAATTTCATATGAATATCATATATCAAATTTAAACTTTAAACATATAGTTAATATTTATTTGTTATTTATTATGTTTTACATCATTAATTTTATTATTATGTTACTTCCATTTCATTTCTGCATATTTTAGTTCCATTGAATTATATATAGATCTTTCCACTTTAATTTTCAATTTGTGTTGTTGAATGATGATTTTGAAAAGAATAAATTGGGGGACTAACGCTTCTTATCATTAATGGTAGAATAGATTTTTTGCGAAAAATTATTGTTGATTTTAATTTTGCTAATTGAATTTATATGGTGAAAACTGAAACGTATGCCATTATGCATAAAATGCCAAAAGAATGCCATGAAAATATTAGCAAGGGAAAAGTTGCAAAATAAAAAATTTTGCATTGTATTTGAATTCCTAATTAGTAATGTTTAAACATAACTCAATAAAATTCAAGGGAAATTGGAAATTAATACAGCTAATTTGCACAACTCGAGTTTCATGTATTCTTGTATGCATTATAGAAGAGAAGTTGAGATGTAAAATATGTTACTTTCTTTTAGCTTGATCTACCATTTATAATATACATGGCATATTATTATGCAATAAATGCCATTAATTGAACAACACAAATACAGTTTGTATTTAGGTCATTGTGATGAAGGCCTTGACCCCTATTTTTGACACCTCAATTTCCTACTTTATCTGTTACATGTTAAAAATTAGAGTTATTTTATGTTATTCAGTGGCGTTGTGGGTTTGGAGAGATTGAACTTCGCAAATTCTAGTCAAAATGCACATGAAATTCAATCACTTTTTCGGCGTGCCTCAAGCATACACTAATTAATACTATTTTTTAATGATGCTATTATTAATTTCTATAAATTAAATAAATAAACTATTTAACTGAAAAATTCTTATGAATTCATATATCTAATATAGTAAGTTAGATTGTAAACATATATATTCAATATATTTGCTATTTATTATGGTTTGCAGCATTAATTTTAATTTTATTATTTTCCATTTCATCTTTGCATATTTTATTTTCATTGAATTATATGTAAATTTTGCCACTTCAATATTGATTTTCGTTTTTTGTTTTTGAATGATAATTTTGAAATGGATAAATGGTGACCAACTCCTCTTACTATTAATTGTTGTGAGACTAGGTTTTTTTTGAGAAAAATGCTCGTTGAATCTATAGATGTGATAATTGAATATGTATAGTCAAACTGCAACATATATGCTATTATGCATACAATGCAACATGAAAAAAAAATTTTAGTAAGGTTAAAATTGAAAATCAAGAAATTTTGCATTGTGTTTAACTTACTAATTGAATTACTAATGTTTAAATTTGACACACCCAAAAAAAAAAAAAAATCCAACATGTATGTGTAGAATTCTAAGGTTAGAAATTGGAAATTAAGAAAGCTTATTGCACAACTCTAGTTTCATATATTGTTTTTTTGTATTATAGAAGAGATGTTAAGATGTAAAATATAGCATTCTTATATTCTGTCCGCTTCTCCCATTGCTTAAGGTACATAAACCTTGATTATATTCAATGTTAGTTTTCCATTATTCTAAAATTCCGATGGGATAGTGCTAACAACTGTTATATTGATGGTTGTAATTTGTGGTCATCTTATAACATGTAATCTATGTTATTTGGATTGATCTTCTAAAAATTTAAATGTTGCAGGGATGACCCTAGTACTACCGAAGAGCCCAAGGATGCACAATCTGAAAAGCCAATCCCTGAAAAAATTGCTTCAGAAGATGCTTCTAAGGTTCCTGAAGACAACCATGTATATTTTTGTTGACCCCAATTTTACTCGTTTAAATTTTTTATGATTAATGAGATAGTTGTTCAAAAAATTACTTTTGTTGTTGTAATGAACAAAGTATACATTTTTTATTATTTTTTTTAAAATTTAGGAAAATAATTGTTTTTTTTGTAATGATTTATAGACCATGTAATTTCTTTATTTAGGATTAGGCTAGGGATGACAATGATTTTCTTTGCTAACTCTTTTGAAAAATGCATCCAAAAGGAAATGACTCTTGCTGAGTATGAAAAAGTTTTGCAAGAAAAGAGAAAGCCTTTGGAATCTCTTAAGGTGGAGACGAGGAAAGTTGTTGTTGACAAGGATTTCGAGGGAATGCAAATCATTGAGAAAAAGAAAGAGGTTGATTTTGCAAAAGTGGTATTTCAATATCCCTTGCTTTTAATGTTGCAATTTTATTTTATTTTTTTGATTGCATGTTATGTATTTATCTGTTCCCCAATTTTTATTGTTAACTGTAGAAATTAGACAATGACAAGGGCAAGAAAAAGGATATCTCTGAAAGGGAAGAGAAATCTCGCAAGGTATTGAGCATGTTATTTTCTTACTCTCCATTTACAAACTAAAAAATTTAATTCTAGATATTTGACTAATATGGTGTTTGGTAGTACTATTAATAGGATTTAGCCATGGATTTAACTTAAATCTAGCCAAAAACTAAAAAAATGAAAATTAAATCAAATGCTTCGTTAAATCGAATTTTCTTGCATTTCGTCTTTTTCACGATGTTGTGAGGCGGATTTATTCCGTCGTTGCTCGCGAGTTTCATCTCCATCCCACATTGGTATGATAAATCCGAATTTATCAGATTTATTACATTTGTTTAATCCTATTTAACATAAATCTTGGTTGCAACCAAACACCGCCTAAGAAGAAGAGCAGTAAGATATCTAATTTGAGATAATTTCAGTCTAAATTTTTATATTTTGCACTTTTTTAAATGCATATTATTTTTAAGGTTTTCTGGACCATTCTGACTAGTATGCTGACACAGATTTTTTTTCTTTTCCATTTATGAAGTACTTCTGTTAAATTTGCACATTTGTTTTGAATAATCTAAATGTCATACCTAATAAGGTTTTAAGATTTACTTTTTTTTTTTGTTCATTCACATTAATATATATATATATATATATATATTGTTGGCAATGCCTTGAGTTTTCAATTACGGTTATTTTCCTGATTGATCATTCGTTACTTGCATGCTGATGATATTGCAGTCACAGAGCATTAATGAGTTTCTGAAGCCTGCTGATGGCGAGAGGTATAACTTGAGGGGTGGAGCTGCTGCTTCTCGCGGGCACGGTGGAAGAGGCCGCGGGCGAGGTGGATACATAAGCGATTATCCAAGGCAGGCTACCGCCTCTGTCGCTGCTCCTTCTCTCGAGGATCCCGCTCATTTCCCCATTCTCGGGGCAGCTGCCAAAGCCTAACCTTACTGAACTTTGCCCCTCAAACTCTTCTTCCCCCTATTTTTGTGCTACCGTTATGGATTTTGCTGCAATTGTCTTTTTTTTCCCCTGTTTTGTTTGCTTTTTATTCTCCAAAAGAAAAAAAAAAGAAGAGGCTGAAACTCATAAGCATAATGACTTTACATATTAATATATGATAAGAGTTTTTTGTTTTCTTTTAATAATAAATTTGTGAGGAAACTAATAGCTATGCTCTTGATTCTGTTGATATGCTGCTGTGTGTTTTCTTACAAATGCTAGTTTTGCTGCATTTGCTTCGGTTGTGAGTGTTTGTGGGCATATTATCTGGGTTGCGCATGCATTGTTCCTGCCTTATGCTTCGTCTCTCTCCCTCTCTTGTTCTTTCTTTTCTAAATGAGTTAAGACTTGGTATTTCTGCACAAATTTAGACGGGCAATTTGTTTTTAAATTCGCATTATTGTTTCTTTTTGGGATATACATGCGTAGCAATGAAATATTGTTATTTATAAAATTATCACTATTTTTTTAATTTATGTGTATCATGATTTAGGTACTATAGAAGTAAGTTACACTAGTTAAATAAGATTTCTATAGGATTTATACTTTACACTTGCTTTAGGTACTATAGAAGTAATTTATAGTAACCCAATCTAAATTCCAGGCTAGGAATGATTCTAGAATGCTATAACTTTTCTTAAGTTTAGTGCCCTCGTTCTTTGTAGGATCAACATTCCGGACTAAAAAATTTGGTTACTGATACGACATGTGCATTTATGCGAGCCCCCATAGTGAACCTTGCATTGTCTAACCCTTTTGATTGGATAGGATTTATTTATTTATTTTTTGAAATCCTTTATTATTATTTATACATAATATTAACTTTTTACCCTTCCTTGGATCTAGCTTGGTTGACATGTGAGGAGAGACAAAAGGTGGTTAGTTTTTTATTGAACTCCCATGCATTCTAGCTTAACATGCAAATGTGGTAGTTTATATGCATGATTTTTTTAATGATTTTAAAAGTCTCTTGGATTATTACTATGATTAAAGCTTTGTCATGCTGGTATAAGAACCAATTGCATCTTTTAGATTTTGTTAAGTTATATTATGTATTCTTCTTATGAGGCCTTAAAAACCATGGTTCTTGGACTATGCAAATAAAGTTTTAAAATATAATATCTTATTTATAGATAATAAAATTTATCTTTTTGGTTAGTTTACAAATTGGATTATGACTACGAACCATATTATTTATTCATTATGTATTTGTATTTCTGAGCGATGATCAATGATAATAAAACATTAAAATATGATCAATTTATATATATGGTTTATCTGAATGTAAAACTTCACATATAGCTATGATTGAGTTATTGCATCAAACTGCTGTCAATGCGATATCTAAAACATGTATTGAATTACTCTCGGAACGTTAAGTCTAGGAGGTCATTGGAGACTTTTATTAGTAGTCTAAGTCGTTATGAATGAGATAAATTGTAAATGAATCAAGGAGACATCCATTCAAATATATTCATATAAGTTGGAACTATGATGGGGCTTTAATCAACACTAATTAAACACATGTTAAATATTATTGGTTTAAATATCTTCTAATTGTTGAACACAGTTTTGTTTCAAAAAGTTCATAAGAAAATTGATGCAATCACTCAATGTTATTTTTAATTATTTTGTTATTTAAATTTAATACAAATCAAAGGTTAAAATTGCATGAGAAGTTTTTCATATTGCTATTTATTTTGAATATTGAAAATCTGTTTGATTGTTTGTAAAGTAAATCACTATATTTTGAATGCTGGCAAACTCTTTGGTATTCTGCAAATAGAATGCAGAGGTATTATTTTTACTTATTATTTACATATATTTTCTTGAACTTGCATATTCAATATTTAATTAGTCATATTTATTTATATAATTTTTTAAAATAAAGTTTAGTTAAAAAATACGTATGATAAAAAGAAAATTATTATGATATAAATTAATTTTAGTAGTTTTTTGAAATAATTTTAAAATGTGAGTCTTATAAATAAATACAAAAAAATTAATAGATTATTGTCATATAAAAATTGTTAATTTAATTTATAAAGATATATAAATCATGAAAAACTTACTTTATCCAAAAATTAATAAATAATAAGATGGATGATTTATATGAAAAATTAAAGATTAGGTGTTAGATATGTAAATACATAGAAATTGAGTGATATTTATGTAAATCTTCCTCCCAAATTACCGAATAATAAAAAAAAAAGGAGAAAACTACATACATAGCACTCAAATCTTCTGGGTTTTCCTATCACACCTAAACTTTCATTATACACACGTCACTTCATTAGTGAATGAAATGATGAATTTGACTATCTATTAAAAGGTAATAATGAATACTACTTTTCATATGAAACTTGTAATTATGAAAGTTTTGGTGTGAGATAATTAAATATAAAAGTTTTGGATGCTATGTACGTAAAAGCCCTAAAAAAAGGGACATGCCCACATATATCTTATATTCCAGCACATGAAACTTACAAAAATTTGACATGTAACACCTAAACTTACATGAAACTTACAAAAATTGCACATGTAATTTGACATGTAACACCTAAACTTCAAATTTCACATATATATGCCTCCAGACCTATGGATGAGAAGGTATATTTCAGTTTATAAAAGTTAAATACCATAACATTTTGGATGTGATAAGAAGGAATTAGTTGGTAATGTTAGATATTATAGTATTTGTATTTCTATTACTTTACCCTACTTAGGGGTAGTTTAGTCTTTTTTCTTATTGTATAATTATACTATTTTATGAGGTGCTTGAGGAAATGGAAACCCTAGCCACTTTTCATTGTCTCCTCTCAATCTATTTGTAGTTTCTGAATTATTTTGTAGTTTCCAGTGAAAGATCCAATTTTTGCCATCATTTGCAGTCTCCACCGATAGACCCAATTGCAGTTTTTCAGGTGATCTATTGTTATTGGTAATTGATATTGCTGTTCTTTGTTTTCTTTTTTATATTGATAATAGTAACAATGGCTGGTGAAAAAAATGATTCTCTTCAGTCTATTAGTGTGCAATTAAATGGACAAAATTAGTCATACTGGAGATATGTAATGAAGAATTTTTTGAAAGGCAAGAGAATGCGGGGTTATGTTTCTGGAAACTCTGTAAAACCTATAGATGAAAATGATGAAAAATATGAAGAAAGGTTGGAAGTATGGGAAGCAAATAATTCAAAAATAATCACTTGGACCAATAACTTAGTTTCACATTCAATCAGTGTCCAATTAGCAAAATATGAAACCACCAAAAAAGTTTGGAATCATTTGGAAAGATTATATATGTTGAAAAAATTATATGTGCAGTCAAATTTTGCAAAACAGTATCAATTAGAAATAGATTTTTGTGCTCTTCAACAAAATAACATGAGCAATCAAGAATTTTATTCAGCCATGACTAATCTTTCGGATCAGTTATCTCTTACTGAGTCTGCAGAATTAAGAGCTTTAAACCATACACTGATCGTAGAAAAGAACAACGTTTGGTTCAGTTTTTTATGGCTCTTCAAGATGATTTTGAAGAGCTTCGTGGAACAATTTTACATCGCAATCTTATTCCAACAGTTGACTCGGTGGTTAATGAGTTATTAGCTGAAGAGATTCGTCTCAAGTCTCAATCTGAGAAAGGGAATGTTGAGAAAGGGATCCTCCCCACTCATAATCCGTCTGTTTTTGTAGCTACTCATAATAAAAACTAATCTCATGGAAAGGTTAGTTTTGATGAATGTAGCATTTGTAAGCAAACGGGTCATTGGAAAGCTCAATGTCCAAAGTTGTTGAACACATCACAGCAGACACAACAACTGAATCAGTTGCACCCACGAAGCTTCAAGGCTCCAACATCAAATATTGCAGTTGTTGTTCCTCCAACAAACTCTTTTGGTGTTGGAAATGCATATTCTTTGGGTCCTATAGTAGCCACTCTTGCTGAGCAGTTTCAAAAGTTTCTTGCCACATAGCCACATGCTATGTCTGCCTCATCAAATATAGGTTTTCCTTCCTCTAGCTCATCAGGTATAGCTTCTTCCATTTGGATTCTTGACTTTGGAGCCTCTCATTAAATGTCATCTGATTTTACATCATTTGTATCCTTACATCCTGCATCATCTGTATCAGTCATGACAACTGTTGGCACCTAATCCTGATTTTCTATATAGATAGATGTAAAATGTGATGTATGCGATTAATTTTTTTAATAGATATTCTTAATTTGCAACAAAGCCAAAAACTTGATCCAAAGCAAAAGCTAGGTAAATCTTTCACTATGAAGCAAATAAGAATGAAATTATAATATTTCAATATGGGATACTAGGCAAGTATACATATTGTTATAAAGTAATATAAGACTTTCTGATTAAGTCTCGAACATCAATCCCATAGGAAGAACTACATTTAGATAACAAAATTTTACTTAACAATATATTCTTACATAAGCTTAAGATGCTAAATTAGAAATGAAAGTTTGATCTTTTTATAATTTTTGATAATTTGAAAATAAAGTAAGCAATAATTAACTTAACTAAAATACTTGCAAGATGAAGGTAATATAAATCAAATATCTTTTTCCTTGTCATGAATCAGTGATAAGTATAAAAATTTTGTTGGGGAAGTATGCTAAATGTG